AGATTTGGAGAAATCAGTTCTAACTTGCATCCTTTTGTCTGTTATATATATATATATATATATAAAGTTATATACACACATACACACACACAGACAGGTTATTTCTGTAGGCAGAAAGGTGCCGGTACTCCCTAAAAAGTACCAATTACAGAAACACTGAAAAAAATTATGTCTTAAAAACAAAAAAGGTGCCGGTAGTATGTACCACCAAAATAGAACTGTATGAAAATACTCTTCACTTCCTGCTGTTAGCAACTTCACTGAATTGAAGTGTGTGTGTGTGTGTGTGTGTGTGAGATCAGAAGGAAAAAAATACAGGGGGGGGGGGGGCAGTTGGGGCAGGATCTTCTGTGAGCTCCTATCCAGTGTGTTGTATACATGGTTTCTTCATAACCTTAAAGATGTTCTTGTTACCGCTGCTCAAGCTCCTGCAAGGCCTTCCTCTTGTTTTTCTTCAACGTACTCTCTGTGGCAGTTGTGCCAGGGAGCTATTGGGAGATGACCAAACCATCTCATCTGTTGCTCTTTAATACAATTGACCCTGTGTAGGTTTCAGGGCCCCAATGTGGGGTAAGGGGGGCGGGTGCGGAGAATAGACCAACTGCCCCCTGCAACACTCGGGCTCTAAAACAAGACTTAAAGTCTGGAGGTGGACGACCAACCAGAACTTCCGTTGCAGTTTACAGCCGGTGAATGTGAAGAAGTAATAATTGATCAAGTTTATAATTCTTCAGTATGTGTAGGCCAAATGTCAGATCAGATCACGAATTTTAAGATACATACTGATAACAATGAATCAAAGATGATTTGTTACTTGAGGCTAAAAGAGTTGGAGGCTAAAAGAGTTGATTATCATGTTTAAATTATAAACAAGGTTCAAACACCTTTTGCTGTTTTATGAACAATAACAGTGATTTTTGTGTGTGGGCTTACCTGTGCCCAACGACAGCAAAAAGGCCTGCTGCGTCAGAGCAACCGAAATATTGCAGAAGGCATGACAGTGAGTAGAACCATGTGTCGGAAGTGTCTGAACAGCCTCCATGGACCTTATTTCCCAAAAAACACAAGTATTCAGACTTAATCAGGCTTCATCCATAAAAAAATTAACCACAATTTTTCAGGTTAGTATGTTTGATCCCAAGTTAAAAAAAAAAATGTCTGCATAATAGTTAATCTGAATATATGTTGAGATTTAAGTTTGATTCATACATATTCTGTTAGTTCATTCATTTCCTCCCCAAATATATATACATACATAGTTTTGTATATGTTAATTACGTGATTAATTTTTTTTTAATTTTGTGTGTAAACTAAGAGAATTCTTTCGTGAAGGCTCCGTCTTGTTGGCACTAAAACTCTGAAAAAGCTCCGTCTCCAAAGAGTTATATATCATGCTTGTTTCTGCCCCACTGGGAATCTTGTCCCAAGCTGGAGTTCACCATAAATTTGTATCTTATTATACAATAACACAGCTATTTTCCCACCAATGTATCCACTATTCCAACAACAAATTATAATCATCTATTTAAATAATGACTTAATTCATCACAGAGACTTCCTACTCAATGTACAACAAACTGCTTACAAGAGAACAACTTAGCCCTGTCACCCCAGCAACCATAAAATAAAATTGGTCATAACCACAGAGGACCCCCCCCCCCCCCAAAATCCTTTAAAAAATAAACAATTATACACAGGTCACTAATACTTTTGAACATTTATTTCTTTATCTACATTTTTAATTTGTTTGCATTAATTATTTAAAGATACATAAAGGCAGTTATCAATAAACATGAACAGAGTGAAGCAATAAATAGAATAAAAATTCCTTGGGGCCGAAAAACAATTTGTATTGTTTTAGATCTCTAAGATTATGCCCCTTTCCAATTGCAACACACACACCTGTGAGACCTGGACACTTACTAAATAAGCTGAACAGTGAATAAATGCCTTTGAATACAAATGTTATAGACGGGTTTTAGGAATACTTCAAGAACTGAATACTGAAGAAGTTTGGCTATTAAAGATGATAAAACACAGAAAATTGAAAACATTTTTGTCACTTGACATGTCACAAAAGTTTAGAGAAAACAATAATTGAGGGTTATATGCCTATGAAGAAAGGAGGAAGAGGCCAAGGAGAAGATGGGTGTGGGATGTAGCAGATGATCTATAGATGAGTGTATCAGATGCGGGACATCTTGCCTGTGATTGAGAAGTTTTCCTGAAGGTTGTTATGGGAGCAAGGTTCTGCAAAGGACATGCTACTGACTGACTGATGTATTAGGTGACTCCTACAGCTATCCTGTAAACTCTATCACTAAAGCTTACGGGGAAATCTGACATCCACATGGCTTTAAGAAAGAAGCTATTTGGTTTGCAGGAAAATCTTCCTAAATGCTATTTTTAGCTAACATATTCATATCCTGACCTCCTAAATGTTTATGCAGGTGTGAACTCAGCCAACAGTACAAATTATGAATGTTTTAAAACATGTCACTGTAGACAAGTTGGAAAGTGGCATTTACGGGGACTCAGACCTGACCAAAAGTGTCAGATTTGTGGCTTCTCAGAGCGACAGGGTTAAGAAAATAGTTGCAAATGTCAAATAAATGATGAGAAGTGTCCTGATATGGAATGAGAAATGCCATACCAGCTGGCATTTGTGGTGATGTGTCTACACGACTCTTACTCTCAATTCACTATACAGGGCTATTCATAATGACAGATACACTTTCAGTCATGCATTTTTCCTTGAATATGTATTACGTATCAATAATATTCATATAAGAGACAGAAAAGAAGAATGTCTAAAGTTTACAAACACACAACAGAGGTTATAGATTTTCAATATGGCCGCCATCTGCTGCTTGACTAAGTGAAGAAGCATCTCTTGCGTAACTGAGTTCACTACAGCACAGCTGTAATACGGGGGGTTCTGCAAATCAACAGGAGTATTTGGTACTGGTGGTACATACATGGCTCCTTTGACATACTCCCCAGGAAAAAGTCACATGGTGAGAATGAAAGTGTATCCATCATTTTGAATAACACTGTATTCATTCCTTTCTCGACATCCACATTATATATTTAGGATCTAGCCTGCTCTGTGGAATTCAGTGACTTTAAAACAAGAACTATGGCATTTGTTTCTCATGGAAGGCAGTCCTCTTCATGTGGATTCTGGAACCTCAGTATGGGGGGGGGGGGGGGGGGGGGGGGGGGGGGGGAAGAGAGAGAGGGGAGAGAGAGAATACACTCACTACCTCCCTGAAAAGCATGTTGTAAATGTCAACTAATTAGGGCTGCTCTTTTGAGTCCGAGTTCATCTGCCTGAGGGGTGAGAAACCTACAGTCTGCACACAAATAAGCCAGATCTGTAAAATGGATGTACATGCAAAACTCCAGATCTGGAACAAGACCAAAGTCCAAAAGTGGAGAAACAACCAGGACTTTCCGTTGGAGTTTACAGCCAGTGAATGTTAAGAAGAAGAAGAAGATTCAACATGGTTCGGTCTTTCTCTGGAGAACAGCTGACCGCCCGCCGAGAGCGTCACATAAAACATGAGCACCGTAGCTCTGATGACGGTCAACAGTTGTCTCCACATAAATTGAAAAGATGCAGTGTGAAACAAACCCAAAACCTTCAGGGCGCATGGCAAGCGGTTTGGCCACTTTGCCATGGCAACCCCCTTAATGACGCCAACCAACGGTGTGAAGATGGCTCCTGGTTGAGTGACAGATCAATATCTCACATGACGTACTCTAATCTGTTGAAAGTGAAGAACTGGCACACAACACTCAGGACATTCCCATAAATGCCCTGTCTCCATCTTCAGCAGCCAGAGTCAGAGTCCCGATACTAATGGTGTCAGATTGCAGTTTGACAATTTGCCCATCTTGCCTTTCCTTTGAGCACTGAGTGTCCACCAATAAATTGCAATATTCATCAGCATTAAGTGCCTTGCAGACTGGCAAGGGCAAACATGCCTCTCTGCAATCTAGGATCTTTAACAGCATGTATCAGTTTATGTGCTGATACCGCTCAAAGCCATGACAACAGGCTGTCAATAATCCTCCTGCATTGCCTTCCTCTGTCTTCATTTTCCACACCCCCCCCCCCCCCCCCCCCCCCCCCCCCCCCCCCCCGTGTGGGTTAGCGGGGCCCCATTGTGGGGGAAAACAAGAATAGACCCACTGACTCCACGACAAGCATGTCGTAGGAGTCGACTAATTGGGGACATCCTTCGAAGTCGGAGCACATCTGTCTGAGAGGCAAGGAAGCATAGGTCTGCATACAAATAAACCAGGTCTATGAAATGGATGCACACGTAACAATCAGGTTCTGAAACAAGACTAAAGTCCAGAGGTGGACGAACAACCAGAAATTTCCACTGGAGTTTACAGTTGGTTAACGGGAAGACGAAGAAGAGATTTTCCACAGATCTTTCCAGTGGCCGGAACATTTTCACAAATGCAACACGCCACCCTCAATTTTGTTTTTATCTAATGACAGATAGTACATATATTACTACATAATTTACTATATTCCACACCCTTCCTCTTCTGCATTCACCCTGAAAAGCAGAGTGGAACCCTGTGTTATGGTTTACATCTAGGCTGCGATACCTACACTTTTTAGCCCAACACATCCAATTTTAGCAAGCTCCTAATTAGTGGCCTTTTATGACATGCTTGTTAGTGGCCAGTGGGTTTATCCCCCCCCTTTCCCCACCATAAGGCTCCAGAACCCATATGAGAATTACTTTTATCTGAATACATATATATTACATATTATTATACTAAGCTATGTAAAAAAAATTAATTATAATAATTTAGACTAGTTGAACGACATGACACTATGTGAATGGTTAGAAATCGAAACGATTCTTACCCAGTATTAAACACAACATTAAAAACTAGAACAAGAACATGCTACTGGTGGTCGACAGGCAATGTGGAATTAAATTAAAGTGGCTGTAATAACGGAATCGTATCTTTTATCCGAGTTTTTTCTGCGAAGAAGACGCCCGGGCCAGGTCCTCCCGATCCATGATGGCGTAGTTCTCACAGGCAGCTCCCAGCTGAATCGCGCTGATAACCATTTTCAGAATGGAGAGAGGGGCGCAGACCACGCATAAAAGTGTCCACAGACCAAAGCCCAACAGCGGAACTGTGTGATTAAAGAAAAACACAAGAAAGTTAATAAATAGGTAATACATAGTCACAATACTGTAGACTGAGTGTACAATGCGGAAGGACAAATACAACATCAGTGTATGAAGAGAATGCTGCATTGGGGAGTGTCAAGGGCAAGGCTATTCAACTGGCGGTCCGCGGGCCACATCTGGCCCGCCGAGACCTAGCAAGTGGTTCGCGGATCATTGCCAATTGTATTGTATTAATGATCTGTCTATGCTTGGCCCGTGACGATCCCCAGTTGAAAAAAATGTGGCCCCTGAGTAAACTTAGTTGAAAAGCCCTGGTCTAGGGGATCTGGCCGATACTCAAGACCCACGGAAAAGGTCAGATGGACATACAATCAGAGCAGATTGTTACTGGACCTTGTGAATCAGAACTCTGCATCTGCTGCTGAAGATGGGAATGGAACACTTATGAGAATGTCAGAATGTTATTATGTCGGTTCTTAACCTATATGCGCTACCTATCTGGTTATGACACCATCATTGACACCGTAAGAAAGTCATTATACAGTTAATTAAAAAAGAAATAAAAAAATTCTTTCTTCTTCTGCATCTCTCACTGGAAGAGAGTTAAAGTACCCATCTCATGACATTGTTGAATAAGGAATCAACATCATAGCACTCAAGACACTCTCATAACCGCTCCGACCCCATCTTTAGCAGCAAGCGGAGAGGTTCAATTCCGATGGTACCAGTAACTGTCTGATTGTACATCCTTTCACTTGAGTGTTGAGCCTCTACCAGATACCCTTTTAACTCCTCGCAGCGCCATTCTCCTCAGACCGTAATGATCCATTTGTGCCTCTTCACTGTTCACTAGCTCCCAGAGGGCCCTCACAACCTCCAGCTTGTCATACATCAATTCACCACCAAGTGGTGCAGAACCGGCCAGTCTATCCGCCCGTTCATTTCCCAGCACACCGGCATGACCTGGAGAAAATATCAAAAGGATGCTAACTACCAAGGACCTCTGAAGTGATGCTTGCCACTCTGCATGGAGCATGCCTATCTCCCCCTTTCTCAACATGCTCTGTGAGTCAATTACAATCACGGCATGTGTGTACAGCTGATTCTTGAGCCAGCAGTGACTGCCTCCACCTCCATTCTCAAACTATCATATGCCAGGTTTTGCTGCCCCAAGCGAATGGTGAATCCTGCATAAGGTAAAGTAAAGGGACTTTTCATGCCTTCGGTGTGCAAAGGGATAGACCTATATTTTACAGACTAGTCAGTACTCAGTTGATGATGTGGTCATCATTACAGCGGCCACCTTTACTCCCCAGGACCTGGCAGCCATTTGAGGCTGGGTCAACCTGGCAGCCGAGGTAATTTCTGGGAAAAGAAAGCCTTTCTCTGCCAGGACCCAAACTCACGATCTTCCTATCCGCTACACCACGGTGGCTCAGGCATATGGTGCCGGACTAATATTTTTTAGACCAGCTGGTACTCGGCAGGTGATGCGGTCAACATTCCACCTGTCGCCTTTACTTCCCAAGATTTCCGTTTTAGACTGGGTGAACATGGGACCCAAGGTCATTCAAAGAACCAAACAGTGGGTCCTTTACAGAATGTCGCTCTTGTCACGGCACGCCTGAAAGTAGCTCTTTCTCTAGCCAGTTCTCCAACCCTATGTGCTTTAATAGCAAATTTATCTTCAGTGTCTTGTATCCACTATCATGGAGGTCTGCCTCTGCCTCAATTCTAGAAGCCGTACCTCAAAGCCACCATGACGTTCAACACATACCTCAGCTTTCAGGAAGGAAAGGTCACTAATCAAATACAATCTGTCCTCGATGCAGATTTCAACTCAAGACCTTCAGACTGACAGGCAAGCCCTACCAAAGCATCCCATTAGAGGACTGATCTTTCTCTACCATGCCAATTTTACCTGTCCTAAGATCGTACAGCCGGCCAAATTGACTGACTGCCGACTGACCCTTGAAGCTCTGAAAACTTGTTTTCAGCTGGGTTTTGCTGATGCAAGTTTCCCATTTCTGGATCAGGTGTCCAAAAGTTCTGTTACCAGCTACTGAGCCTAGTACTAACTGGTGCGACACTGTGAGCCAGTAATTTTATGTGGAATGTTAATTTTTCTGTTGTGCCTGCAGTGTATTATTGATTACATTAAAATGGAGGGTGGCTGATTATATCCATGGCATGTACTTTTGCAGATGCTGGCTTTCACGACTGACCACATAAGACAAGAGAGATGCAATTCTAGTGTAGGACTGTTTGTGCAAGCACATCTGACAGCTGCCTTAGGCATTTTTACTTTGAGATTATGGCCAGTTTTTTTTAAATAGTTTTCAAATAGGACGGTGAAGGACATTTTGCATGATTTTCACTGGTACAGGAATGGAGACGTTATGGAGTGAACCGTCTGCAGTAATATCGAAACCTAGACTAACAACTAAGAAGTCTTACCTTTCACAATCTCCTGTGACTCAATGGACTGGTTCTGCACCGCTCTTTGGTGAATTATTGCATGATAAGGCAGAAATGGTAAAAGCTCTTTGGGAGGAAGTGAACAACACAGAAGAGTGAACAGATCCCTAGAGTCTAGAAAGCATGTTGCAAACGAATGTTAAGAATCCCTTGGACTGCCAGAGTAACTAACAAGGATTATTTGAAGGAAGCTAATAAAAGCAGATCAATATATACAGCTATAAGGAAAAGTCAGGAACTGTTCTTTGGCACATGATGAGGTAAGAGGCTTTGGAGAATACTGTTAATACTGGAAAGATCAACGGTAGAAGAGAGAGAGGCAGGCAGATGGAGAGAGATCATGACAGACTCATGTTGATGGTGGCACGGAGTGATATCATCGGTGGAAATGATCCAGAGAACAATAGACCGAGATATGTGGATACGCATGAATGCCTATGCCAGTTGGCAGGGTATATGATGTTGATGACGACACATGAGTGATGAAAGGATCTGATAATCACTCAATGTCCAGAGGAAAGGCAAGATGAACATATAGTCAGACAACAAGTGTCACCAAGATTACTGGAACCTGGTTCTGGCTGCTGAAGATGGGGCTGGAGAATTTATGTGAATGCCCCTACTGCTGTGGTGTCTGATTGTAAGTCTCAGCCCACACAAAACCGAAAAATTATTTTTCATATTTTCTGCAAGTGTCAACTTCTTTATTCCCTAGATGGAGAACAGGCACTGAACCAACCTTGTTTTCCCTTTACTACAGGACTATTAAACTAACTTAACCCAGGGGCCAACATTTTTTAAATGGGGAATCATCAAGGGCCAGAAGCCCGAACCCAAACACAGAAAGCAAATTAAAATAATGCAACTGGCAGAGATTCGTGGGCCACTTGCTAGGCCTCCGCGAGCCAGATCTTGCCCACGGGCCGCCAGTTGAATAACCTTGCTTTACTATCACATGCAATGCACCTTCATATCCACCTCATTCTGTAGTTCTTTTCTCCATATGTATTTTGGGGAACCTTTATTCCTTTGGTCCTGTGGGTTCTAGAGCAAGAAAACTTTCAGTCAGTTAGTAGCATGTCCTTTGCAGAACCTTGCTCCTATAACAACCTTCTGAAAAACTTCTTGATCACAAGCAAGATGGCCCGCGTCCAATACACCCATCTGGAGATCATCCGCCACATCCTGCACCCATCTTCCTTGGCATATGTCCCTCCATTACTGTTCTCTACACTTTCGTGACATTTTAACTGACCAAAATATTTCAATTTTCTGTGTTTTATCGTCTTTAATAGCTAACCCTCTTCAATATTCAGTTCTTGAAGAATGGCTGCATTTGTTCTTTTCTTTACCCATGATATTCTTAGAACCCGAAAAACACTTTGGTTAAATATCAGGTTTTCTCAAAATGTGTTCCATCTAACACCAGCATCTTCTCACCTCTTAATTACCTGACATTTATTTAGCTCTCTCCCATAGCTTTGCACTGGTGATTTTGGAATTCCACTTCATTTACTCTATTTTATGTAAACATTAGCCTATAAATGTTTGGATTTTATTAATAATTATTTTAGCCATTTTCAATGTTTCAAATCTATACAGCTGTACCGACGTGACAGACACACATGTTCTAAGTTACGTTATGAAGTTATGAACATTGCAGGCAGCAAAATAAAGACATTATTTCTGTATGGTCATCAAAGCACAGACAACATACTTACTAGTGGGTCCGCCGGTGAAGTAGGTCAAGTACAACATACAGAAGAACAGTTCGTTAGCCGCACACATCACAAATAAGATAACCTGTTCAGGAAGAAGCAAAGACAATATTAGTTCATGTACAACATACAGAAGAACAGTTCGGTGGCTGCACACATCACAAATAAGATAACCTGTTCAGGAAGAAGCGAAGACAATAATAGTTCAAGTGCAACATTCAGAAGAACAGTCCGGTGGCTGCACACATCACAAACAAGACCAACTGATCAGGAAGAAATAAAGACAATACGTCATGTACAACATACAGAAGAACAGTCCGGTGGCTGCACACATCACAAACAAGACCAACTGATCAGGAAGAAATAAAGACAATACGTCATGTACAACATACAGAAGAACAGTTCGGTGGCTGCACACATCACAAACAAGACCAACTGATCAGGAAGAAATAAAGACAATACGTCATGTACAACATACAGAAGAACAGTCCGGTGGCTGCACACATTACAAACAAGACCAACTGATCAGGAAGAAATAAAGACAATACGTCATGTACAACATTCAGAAGAACAGTCCGGTGGCTGCACACATCACAAACAAGACCAACTGTTCAGGAAGAAATAAAGACAATACGTCATGTACAACATTCAGAAGAACAGTCCGGTGGCTGCACACATCACAAACAAGACCAACTGTTCAGGAAGAAATAAAGACAATACGTCATGTACAACATTCAGAAGAACAGTCCGGTGGCTGCACACATCACAAACAAGACCAACTGTTCAGGAAGAAATAAAGACAATACGTCATGTACAACATTCAGAAGAACAGTCCGGTGGCTGCACACATCACAAACAAGACCAACTGTTCAGGAAGAAATAAAGACAATACGTCATGTACAACATTCAGAAGAACAGTCCGGTGGCTGCACACATCACAAACAAGACCAACTGTTCAGGAAGAAATAAAGACAATACCTCATGTACAACATACAGAAGAACAGTTCGGTGGCTGCACACATCACAAACAAGACCAACTGTTCAGGAAGAAATAAAGACAATACGTCATGTACAACATTCAGAAGAACAGTTCGTTAGCCGCACACATCACAAACAAGACCAACTGTTCAGGAAGAAATAAAGACAATACGTCATGTACAACATTCAGAAGAACAGTCCGGTGGCTGCACACATCACAAACAAGACCAACTAATCAGGAAGAAATAAAGACAATACCTCAAGTAAAACATACAGAAGAACAGTCCGGTGGCTGCACACATCACAAACAAGACCAACTGATCAGGAAGAAATAAAGACAATACGTCAAGTACAACATTCAGAAGAACAGTCCGGTGGCTGCACACATCACAAACAAGACCAACTAATCAGGAAGAAATAAAGACAATACGTCATGTACAACATTCAGAAGAACAGTCCGGTGGCTGCACACATCACAAACAAGACCAACTAATCAGGAAGAAATAAAGACAATACGTCATGTACAACATTCAGAAGAACAGTCCGGTGGCTGCACACATCACAAACAAGACCAACTAATCAGGAAGAAATAAAGACAATACGTCATGTACAACATTCAGAAGAACAGTCCGGTGGCTGCACACATCACAAACAAGACCAACTAATCAGGAAGAAATAAAGACAATACGTCAAGTGCAACATTCAGAAGAACAGTCCGGTGGCTGCACACATCACAAACAAGACCAACTGATCATGAAGAAATAAAGACAATACGTCATGTACAACATACAGAAGAATAGTTTGTTAGCCGCACACATTACAAATATGATCACCTATTGAGGAAGAAACAAAAACAATACGTCAAATAAAACATACAGAAAATAGTCTGGTATCTGTACACATCACAAACAAGACCAACTAATCAGGAAGAAACAAAAACAATGCGACAAATAAAACATACAGAAAATAGTCTGGTATCTGTACACATCACAAACAAGACCAACTAATCAGGAAGAAACAAAAACAATGCGACAAATAAAACATACAGAAAATAGTCTGGTATCTGTACACATCACAAACAAGACCAACTAATCAGGAAGAAACAAAAACAATGCGACAAATAAAACATACAGAAAATAGTCTGGTATCTGTACACATCACAAACAAGACCAACTAATCAGGAAGAAACAAAAACAATGCGACAAATAAAACATACAGAAAATAGTCTGGTATCTGTACACATCACAAACAAGACCAACTAATCAGGAAGAAACAAAAACAATGCGACAAATAAAACATACAGAAAATAGTCTGGTATCTGTACACATCACAAACAAGACCAACTAATCAGGAAGAAACAAAAAACAATGCGACTAATAAAACATACAGAAAATAGTCTGGTATCTGTACACATCACAAACAAGACCAACTAATCAGGAAGAAACAAAAACAATGCGACAAATAAAACATACAGAAAATAGTCTGGTATCTGTACACATCACAAACAAGACCAACTAATCAGGAAGAAACAAAAACAATGCGACAAATAAAACATACAGAAAATAGTCTGGTATCTGTACACATCACAAACAAGACCAACTAATCAGGAAGAAACAAAAAACAATGCGACAAATAAAACATACAGAAAATAGTCTGGTATCTGTACACACATCACAAACAAGACCAACTAATCAGGAAGAAACAAAAACAATGCGACAAATAAAACATACAGAAAATAGTCTGGTATCTGTACACATCACAAACAAGACCAACTAATCAGGAAGAAACAAAAACAATGCGACAAATAAAACATACAGAAAATAGTCTGGTATCTGTACACATCACAAACAAGACCAACTATTCAGAAAGAAACAAAAACAATACGTCAAATAAAACATACAGAAAATAGTCTGGTATCTGTACACATCACAAACAAGACCAACTAATCAGGGAGAAACAAAAACAATGCGACAAATAAAACATACAGAAAATAGTCTGGTATCTGTACACATCACAAACAAGACCAACTAATCAGGAAGAAACAAAAACAATGCGACAAATAAAACATACAGAAAATAGTCTGGTATCTGTACACATCACAAACAAGACCAACTAATCAGGAAGAAACAAAAACAATGCGACAAATAAAACATACAGAAAATAGTCTGGTATCTGTACACATCACAAACAAGACCAACTAATCAGGAAGAAACAAAAACAATGCGACAAATAAAACATACAGAAAATAGTCTGGTATCTGTACACATCACAAACAAGACCAACTAATCAGGAAGAAACAAAAAACAATGCGACAAATAAAACATACAGAAAATAGTCTGGTATCTGTACACATCACAAACAAGACCAACTAATCAGGAAGAAACAAAAACAATGCGACAAATAAAACATACAGAAAATAGTCTGGTATCTGTACACATCACAAACAAGACCAACTAATCAGGAAGAAACAAAAACAATGCGACAAATAAAACATACAGAAAATAGTCTGGTATCTGTACACATCACAAACAAGACCAACTAATCAGGAAGAAACAAAAACAATGCGACAAATAAAACATACAGAAAATAGTCTGGTATCTGTACACATCACAAACAAGACCAACTAATCAGGAAGAAACAAAAACAATGCGACAAATAAAACATACAGAAAATAGTCTGGTATCTGTACACATCACAAACAAGACCAACTAATCAGGAAGAAACAAAAACAATACGTCAAATAAAACATACAGAAAATAGTCTGGTATCTGTACACATCACAAACAAGATCACATGTTCAGGAAAAAACAAAGACCACATATATCAAGAACCGTGCATCTGCAGTATTTAATGGTCACCTACAAAGCTGCAACAGGGTGTTTTCAGTCTGTCAGCCCATCTATCAGTCTGCTCATTGCCTCGGACATCCATAGATCCTCAGCCAAAACTACATATGTTTTTGACATTCCCCTTGAGGTTCCGGAGAAAGAAAAGACCCACCACTCCCTAACAAGTAAGTCGTACAAGGCGACTAATCAGGGAAGCTTCCTTTGAAGTTCGAGTCCATTAGTCTCAGAGTCAAAGAACCAGCAGTCTGCAAACAAATAAGCCAGATCTGGGATGTGGAATGCACGCAAAACTCAAGTTCTAGAACAAAGCCAAAGTGCAGAAGTGGACGACATCCGGAACTTTCCGCTGTAATTACCAGCCAGTGAATGCTAGGAATAATAATAATGAATAAATGAATCAAGAATTGACAACACTGCATTTGCAATATTCCTACATGTGCTCCGCTCCCTTCTTCAGTAGCCAATGAAAAATTGACATGCTAATAGTACCGGCTGCAACCTGATCCAAATTCCACCCAGTTGTGTTTTATCTTCCATAAGCTCTACTCATCCCCTGTTGAATTAGTCTTTCAATGTGTGTATTCAAATCTGCATCGTGGCGGACTGTTCAAAGCCCACCTTGGTTCCGAGGTCGATTCAGCCAAAAATGGGTATCAGGTAATGTCCTGGGAGGTAAAGGTGGCCGACAGGATGTTGACCCCACCACCCACAGATCACCCTATGCCCAGTGAGCCATTTGCATCAAAATAATCATTTACTAACTTTAGATCAGGACTATTCAACTAGTGCCCACGGGACAAATCTGGCCCGCAGAGGCCTAGCTAGTGGCCCCCGGATCGTAGCCAGTTCTATAATACTCATGATATTTCTACGCTGTGGCTCAGATCTCTGGCCCGTGGCGATCCCCATTTTCAACATTTTAGCCCCGAGTAAATTTAGTTGAATGGCCCTGCTTTAGACCACAATAAGGCGGATTCCCCGTGGTGAAGTGGTTAAGCCGTCTGCATGCTGCTTTGAAGGCCATGGGTTTGTTTCATAGGTGCATCGTTCAGTTCATGAGTTAAATTTTTCAGAGACCCCTGGGGATTGCTGCCGGAGTTACAGTGTTTGTTCTACATTCTCGCAAGTGGCTAGCCCTTCTGCGGAGAGAGCCCGGGCCATAAGAGATAAAACCTGGTGCAATGAAGTCAGTCCTCTCAACTTTAGCCTTTGACTTTAGAAATGATGATAACAATGATAACCCACCTTGTTATGATAATAATATCTCAGAAATGGGTTGGCCGACAGGTCAATTTTCTTGTGGCTGGTGCTTCCTCTCTCGATAGAACTGCAAGTGATTATAAAACAAGCAACCATTAACACTAGCAGATGGGCAAGGATGAAAGACAATAGAACTGCATAGAATAGAACTAACAGTCTGCACACAAATAAGTCAGATCTGTAAAACAGATGTACATGCAACACTCAGGTTCTGGAGGTGAATGAACAACCAGAACTGTGGTGGGTTTATTCCCCCGCTCCCCTTGATCCACCACCCTCACTGTGGCCCCAGAAGCCATTATTGCTTTCAATAACTGACTATACCTTCCTGGCAAACCACTGACAATGCATCCTATCACTGATAGATATCCCTATGACAAACCTCTGGCAATGCATCCTATGATAGATAGATATCCCCATGACAAAGCATCCTATGACTGATAGATATCCCTATGACAAACCACTGACAATGTATCCCATGACTGATACTTATTTCTATGACAAACCACTGACAATGCAGCCTACGACTGATAGATATCCCGATGAAAAACCACTGGTAATGCATCCTATGGCTGATTAATTTACCTGTGACAAGCCACCGACAGTACATCCTTCTTCTTCTGCATTGATATGAAGATGTAATTGCATTGTGCCCTTTCACAGCATGCTACAATATTTGCGTCTTTTGGCCAGCACATCCGACTTCAGCAGGCACTTGTTGACAGGGTTAGCCTTCCTTGTTAGTTGCGTAAGACAGTGCTCGTTGTTGTGTGGTCACCTTAGTTTCCCAGGTCACAAGTGTTGCTCCACATCAGGCCGGTCATGAAAAGCCATGTAATGCTGTTCAACCCTCAAGAGAAGGCAGGGGCAGAATCTCAGACAACTCATCCTACGACTAAAATATATACATATATATCTCACCCGTGCAGTAGACACGGCTTGGGAGGAGTTAACAGTTGAATTAAAATGTACACACAAATTACAGGAAGGCGTTTGTGATTTACAGTATAGATATCTAAGACAAACCTCTAACAACGCATCTGGGGACACAACAGATCTCTATGACAAACCTCTAACAATGCATCTGGGGACACAACAGATCTCTATGACAAACCACCAACAATGCAGCCGGGGACACAACAGATCTCTATAACAAACCTCTGACAATGCATCCAGTGACTGAATATATCCAGGGCCATGGCAAACTGGAAGAACAGCATGTAGGTTGGGTAGAGCTGGCAGAGAGCAGCGCACAGACACATGGTGGTGATCCGATCGGTCAGCATGTCCAGCATGGCTCCCAGTCTGCTGCCTGCAATCAGACATAGCACAGTGAGCAGTTACAGATATGAGGTATCAGCTGATGACAATAAATGATCCACCAGTTGCTGAGAATAAATGATCCACCAGTTGCTGACAATAAATGATCCACCAGTTGCTGACAATAAATGATCCACCAGTTGCTGACAATAAATGATCCACCAGTTGCTGACAATAAATGATCCACCAGTTGCTGAGAATAAATGATCCACCAGTTGCTGACAATAAATGATCCACCAGTTGCTGAGAATAAATGATCCACCAGTTGCTGACAATAAATGATCCACCAGTTGCTGACAATAAATGATCCACCAGTTGCTGACAATAAATGATCCACCAGTTGCTGACAATAAATGATCCACCAGTTGCTGAGAATAAATGATCCACCAGTTGCTGACAATAAATGATCCACCAGTTGCTGAGAATAAATTATCAACTAGTTGCTGACAATAAATTATCAACTAGTTGTTGATATTAAATTATCAACTGGTTGTTGACAATAAATGATCAACCGTTTGCCGACAATGAATTATCAACAAGTTGCCGACAATAAATTATCAACAAGTTGCCGACAATAAATTATCAACAAGTTGCCGACAAAAAATTATCAACTGGTTGCTGACAATAAATTATCTTCTTTTTCGCGTTCACCAGCTGTACACTCTGGCGGAAAGTTCTGGTTGCTCGTCCACTACTGAACTGCAGTCCTGCTCCAGAACCTGAGTGTTGCATGTGCATCAGTTTTACAGATCTCATTCTCTTGAATAGACTGTTGGTTCCTTGCCTCTCCGGCAGATGCACTCCGACTTCAAAGAAAGCTCCCCAATTAGTTGACTCTTACGACATGCTTTTGGGGAGGCAGTGGGTCCATTCTTACAATAAATTATCAACTGGTTGCTGACAATAATTTATGAACTGGTTGCTGACAATAAATTATCAACTAGTTGCTGACAATAAATTATCAACTAGTTGCTGACAATAAATTATCAACTAGTTGCTGACAATAATTCATCAACTAGTTGCTGACAATAAATTATCAACTAGTTGCTGACAATAATTTATCAACTAGTTGCTGACAATAAATTATCAACTAGTTGCTGACAATAAATTATCAACTAGTTGCTGACAATAAATGATCAACTAGTTGCTGACAATTAATGACCAACCAGTTGCTGATAATATATTCTTTTTAACCTGTTCAGTAATACTTACACTGGTTGAGCATCCTGGCCAAATGGCCATCGAACGCATCCAGGAAGCCACTCAGAAGGTAAAACAGTGTAGCTTTTGTTGGGTCAAAGGGCATGTAGTAGAAGGAGATGAAGGCGAACACTATCCGTAAGTAGTCTGTAGAATGAATAATTGTTTCATGATTATCAGACAGCAACATTTTTTTACCGCTTCTTCTTCTTCTTTTGTCAATATCTGCTTATGCCGCTAGGTGTTGCAGTTCAGCAGATAATTGGCAGCCGAGCCAGTGTGCACTCAGTTGCTTGATATGCCATGATGTTGTGTAGTCTCAAGATGTCAGAGAGAGAGAGAGAGAGAGAGAGAGAGAGAGAGAGAGAGAGAGAGAGAGAGAGAGAGAGAGAGAGAGTGAGAGAGAGAGAGAGTGAGAGTGTGTGTGCAGTGTGTGTGTGTGTGTGTGTGTGTGGGGGGGGGGGGGGCTGTTGTGATTTTTCTAGGGATACTCTCGGCGGTGGCGGAAGTCGCCGGAAGTTCGCAATTCGGCGGTGGCGTTATAGTCTCCGGAAGTGTGCAATTGACATGTGACTGAGGCCCTGTTAGGGTATATTTTCCGCCCCGATAATTTAGGACCATTATTCGGTGGACAGCCTCAATATGATTTATAATAATATGAAATATATCTTAATAATAATATTAAATTAAGTTCGGCTGTCCTCTGAATAACGGGCAATAAAGGTGGCGGCCGCAAAATATCCTGACGAGACTCAGTCACGTGTTGTAAACATTCAAAAAGTGAAGTCAAAAGTAATAAGCCATTTTTATATCAAATCGACTACTTCCCGATAATTTTGTGCCTTTATATCTGGAAATTATGGCATAGAAGTTGTAAATAGTGCCCGAAAATCTGCTGATTGTGGCTGTTATGCCATTGAAACTAGGCTAAGTACGATCGGAAGAAGGCGCGGCTCTTACCGCATTGGTAACGCAGCTTTCTTTTTAGTAGCATCCACAAACCGGCTATCCCCCGAATAACGGGCACAAAATATGGCGGCCAATGGTGGCCAAAAACAGGGCCTCAGTCACGTGTCAATTCCGCACTTCCCCCGACTTAATGTGCGGTTTTCCGGCGACTACCGCCACAGCCGAGATTAGCCCCCATGCCGCGTGCGGCGCAGATTGGGGCTAAACTAGATGGCTAGGACTCACGAGCAAAGCTGCAGGAGATGCAGAAGCTGCTGCTCGTGGGTCCCAGCCATCTAGTTTAGCCCAATCTGCGCCATGCGTAGCGGCGCGGGGGAGACTCTCAGAGGTGAGTTTAACTCGGTTTGCTCCGTTTCTCAAAATTGTCAACGGACACTAATCCTAGTTTTCCCGCGATGTGCTCGTGACCGCAAGTGCGCAATTGACATGTGACTGAGGCTCGTCAGGATATTTTGCGGCCACCATCTTTAATGCCCGTTATTTGGAAGATAGCCTAAAGTTCATATTATTCAGTTCGAAGTCGGCCGGAGTACCTGAGAGGGAAGGAACCAACAGTCTGCATACAAATTAGTCAGACTGTCAAACGGATGCACTCGCAACACTCAGGTTCTGAAATAGGACTGTAGTCCAGAAGTGGACGAACAACCACCACTGAAGAAGTCAAGAACTTTCCGCCGGAGTTTACTGCCGGTGAACGTAAACGCGAAACGAAAAAGAATATTCATAAAAATAACGGCTCTACTGGCAAATCCGGACGAAGAATAAACAGCCTTGGACGACTTAGTCATTCTCTCCCGTGGCCGCACTCCAAACAGTGATCGGAAAACAAACGAAACAAACGACACACTTAGCTATCATCCTGCGGTTGCGTGCAGGGTTGCGTACGGTTGCGTGAGGCAGTGTGAATGGTTGTGTAGTCATCATCATGCGGTTGTTGGATTAGAGTTAGGGTTAGGGTTAAGGTTAGGGGTAGGGTTAGGGTTAGGGGTAGGGTTAGGGTTAGATGTGAAAATTTTGACGTAGGATTTCGAAATACTGGCCGACAATCTGATGTTTGTGGGAGTGGCGCCACTGAAACTGTGCCAAATATGACGCCAATAGCGTGCGGCTGGTGCCCCCAATCGTTGGCGAATTGTGCGTTTTACCAGCATCCAGAGGCCCTCGATTGTTTGTGTGTGTATGGGACTGTGCGCGATTATAGGGAACTCCGGCGTCAAAATTGTCAAATCTAACGCTAAACCTAACCCTACCGCTAACCCTACTCCCTAACCCCTACCCCTAACCACGCAAATTTATCGATCATCAACGCATACAAATCGGCAAAAACCAACAAACAAAACACACCCAAAAAAAACCAGATTTGTCCTGCAGCGTCGAAAAAAACAAACAGATCTGGGGGAAAGAACCAAGCATTGGCAGCCCTGATGTTGACGTGACTGTCTTCTTTGTTTCGTTGTGGCTTTTCCGATCACTGTTTGGAGTGCGGCCACGGGAGAGAACTCTGACTAAGTCGTCCAAGGCTGTTTATTCTTCGTCCGGATTTGCTAGTAGAGCCAAAATAACTTTTTAAAGATATGATGCTGTGATACTGATGCTTCACTGACAATATTCCAGCTTACCAATAATATTTGGCACAAATAAGTAAACGTTAGTCATCCTGTCGAACAATTTATGGCAGCCCAATCTGAACCTGTGGAATAAGAACAAAATGTAGTAAACACGAAATTTTTCAAACAAAATTCTTCCACTTGTTTTCCTGATAATGGTATGCCGACGTGACCCGGAAGTGAACCCCGGAGGCAGACGTAATTTCGGCATTCTGCTACTTCTTCTTCTCTTCCACCTTGAACCTCATCGAAGTGGCAGGGGGAGATGTAACATTCGTTGATGAGCTCTGTCATCAGCACTATTAAGGTTGATGATCATTTCTGTCAGGCTGTTCTTAATGCCATCACTCCATTTTTTCGAGGTCTTCCACTCGCTCTATACCCGTTGTAACGTTTTGGCTCGCTGTGGCAGATAGTACCAGGGCATTCTTGTTATCCTTCACGGCATTGAAACCTCCAATTATCACCATCATCATCATCATTTTGTACAGTTGTGTATCGCATTGACATAAAGCAGGGCTATTCAACTGGCGGCCCGCTGACCAAATTTGGCCCGCCGAGGCCAAGCAGGTGGCCTGCGAATTACTTCCAGTTGTATTGAATTAATAATCTTTCTATGCCGGGGCACAGACCTCTGGCCCGTGACGATCCCCACTTTTGAAAGTTTGGCCCCTGAGTAAACGCTGTTGAAAAGCCCTGATATGGAGCTTCCCCGTGTGGGTTCCAGGGTCCGATTCTGATGGAAAACAAGAAGGGACCCACTGCCTCTCCAACAAGTATGTCGTAGGAGTCAACCTTCGAAGTCAGAGTGCATCTGCACGAGTGGCAAGGAACAACTAGCTGCGAATGTACACGCAAAACTCAGGCCCTGGTAGGGCCGCATTCCAAACAGACGAATAACCAGGACTTTCCGTCGCAGCTTTCAGTGAGCAAAGAAGAAGAATAAGGCATAGGGCTCACGAATAGGCATTCACTATGTTCTGTCCTGTACTATATTATCCTTTCGATATCACGAAGTGCCTTCAGGCCAGGATCTTGTAGCTTCTCTGAATAATGTTCATCTGAAAGTTTCTTTAGGAGTAGTAGTAGCAGCAGCAGTCGCAGTAGAGAAGTAGTAGTAGTAGTAGTAGTAGTAGTAGTAGTAGTAGTAGGCCTAGTAGTAGTAGTAGTAGTAGTAGTAGTAGTAGTAGTAGTAGTAGTAGTAGTAGTAGTAGTAGTAGTAGTAGTGGTGGTAGTAATAGTAGTAGTCGTCGTCGTAGCAGCAGTAGTAGTAGTAGTAATAGTAGTAGTGGCGGTGGTGGTAGTAGTAATAGTAGTAGTAGTAGTAGTAGTAGTAATAATAGTAGTAGTAGTAGTAGTAGTAGTAGTAGTAGTAGTAGTAGTAGTAGTAGTAGTAATAGTAGTAGTAGTAGTAATAGTAGTAGTAGTAGTAGTAGTAGTAGTGGCGGTGGTGGTAGTAGTAGTAGTAGTAGTAGTAGTAGTAGTAGTAGTAGTAGTAGTAGTAGTAATAGTAGTAGTAGTGGTAGTAATAGTAGTAGTAGTAGTAGCAGCAGCAGCAGCAGTACTAGTAGTAGTAGTAGTAGTAATAGCAGTAGTAGTGGTGGTAGTAGTAGTAGTGTTAGTAGTAGTAGTAGTAGTAGTGGTGGTGGTGGTGGTGGTAGTAGTCGTAGTAGCAGCAGTATTAGCAACAGCAGCAGCAGCAACTCAACAGCATCAGCGACAATAGTGGTATTAACAAGAATAATGATGTCTTGTTAAACTTATTTTGGTTATAATGGTGACAACTGTAAGATATGCGTGGATTGTGTATTAATTGTAACTGCCTCATCCCTCCAGCCTTGAGTTAACTTCAGGATGTACATATCTTTGCCCAAATTATATAGAGAAGCAAGCTTTGACATTTTGTCAATCTGTTGTTCGATGAATTCCATTTTCGGGTCGAATACTGGCATCTGGAAATTCGTAGCTTGAGTTGGGATGTTGCTCTGTGTTGAAGCAAATTCCCTCTCTGGCGTTAGAGATCTTGGTCTATGTCATTCTCTCTCTCTCTCTCTCTGTGTGTGTGTGTGTGTGTGTGTGTGTGTGTGTGTGTGCCTGCAACTCTTATTCTCTCAATCGAACTTTCTATTCCCTCAATCGAAATTCCTTACTTATCTCCATGTACAATCTCATCTGCTCTGATTCTTGCTTCAATCTCATTCTCTCTGATTCCATTCTGAATATTTCAGACTCCTTCTCAGATTCTATCTTGAGTCGTTCCCACTCTCGGGTTTCCATCCGCATTCTCTGTCTATAGTCGCATCCAATCTGTCATTTCTTTTCCCTCCAAACCCATCTATACAGCCGTGTCCTTCAGTTCCTCGATATAAATCTTAGACTGAGCCATGCTGGCTTGTTAAAAGTCTCAAAATTATCCAACCCATCACTAATCACCAAATTACCAATTATAAAAATCAACAAATTAAAAAAATATTAACACCAAAAACAACCTGAATTTACCGCCAGCCTTTACCGTGCCTTAAGCCTATTAAGTTTTTGTTGGCGTTTCAATGTGCAGTAAAGCCAGTCAGATTCCAATAACTTCAAAAGTTCTGGAGAAAAATTTTCTATAGAAAATACAACAGGAAACAAAAATAACAACACACCACTGGATTACCAGTCACTAACAAGAAAATAAATCTTCTGAGATTACGAATTGACACAGAGTAGTCACAAACACCGTGTTAATAAAATTTACAAAACAATAAACAATGTCCTGGCCAAGAATACCAGTTAATGAAGACTGAAAACAAACAAATCCCGATTATGTCATGTGACTCCACGTGGAATGACACAATGTTGTGGCAGTGGCTTGTACTGGTCCAGGGATGAGGTAACGCAAGTTTTTGGCACCACAGAAATTCCCGTTCACAACTTGGCCAGACTTCCTCACAACTGGATTTCCAATCACGTGATATTCAAAAACGCCACTGTTGAACAGGAGCTGCACCAAGAACTAGATTAGGGTAACATCACGTGATATTCACAACGCCACTGTTGAACAGGGGCTGCACTAAGATTAGGGTCCCATCAAGTGATATTCACAACGCCACTGTGGAACAGGAGCTGCACCAAGAAGTAGATTACAGTAACATCACGTGATATTCACAACGCCACGTGAAAATACATGACACCTCTACAACACAGGACAGGCCGTGCGACCCGCCTCTATATGATTGCGAAGGGAGGGGAATCTCGTCCTGACGTGAGGGTTCGTGATAAGTACCTGTGTCCTTATCTAAAACTTTTACTAAAATGGCTAACTATGCTCGTTGGGTGCTAAAGCTCAGGCGGCTGGGCCACACCTGGGAAATGGAGGATTGTAGAGTCTCTGGGGACATCCTTTATTTGTAATTACAGATGGGTAGAAGATGTGACCGATCTCTGCTTCCATATAAAGATATTGCAAGCGGAACATGAATGATACAGATACTAAAGTTGATTCGTTTGAACATAATACCAGATACCGTGTTGCGCGAAGGGAGCAAATCAAGATCGGAATGAGAATGAAAGAAGAAATTATTACAGAAAGGATGAGATCTGAGCATCTCAGAAGAAACAGACTAAATACAAAAGCTGACAACAACGATCCTGAAATCCCATGCTATAATTGTGCAAGACATCTCTTAATTAAAGCAGGCGGGTCTTGCTAGTCACACTCGCCTTTGCCGTAGACTGTGGGTCGCATTCCCCCTCATAGCACAATATAACCCAGTCATGTTTAAAGACGGAATGGTGGGACAAATAATTTGAGCATAAAGGGCACATTTGGAAAGAATAGTCTGATCTTTAATCACTTGATCATCCCTTTGTGGGAAGCAATGTTTCGTTATTTGTAGCCCTACTCTGGCTCTTGCCAGGGGCCGCAATATAGAATGGCCATAAATATGGTCTAATGGCTGTACACGGTTTCTTGGACCTCTCCAGGGGTGATCCTCATCCACATGGTGGCACTTTGTGTCATCGGGTGTTTATCGCTTGTGGGATGTCCTGGAGTGGTTTAAAAAAAGGATAGATAGAGAAAGAATAGTCTGAGCGTTCCGGGTGCCCCTTGTGGGGAAAACAAAAATAGACCACTGCCTCTCCAACAAGCATGTCGTAAGAGTCGATTAACGTTGGACTTCCTTCCATGTCGGAATGCATCTGTTTGAAAGATAAGGAACCAACAATCTGCATATAATCAGTACTAGTCGTCCCCATGTCGGATGCAATTTTTCGTTTTTTGAAGCCCCACCCTGGCTTTTAAGTATGAAAGTACATGAGGCGGGAGAGCTGGCAAGAGACCGAGTTTCTTTCAGACAAACCGTGATGAGATCTACGTTCTGCAAAGGACCTGCTACATGATGATTATGACCCTGGATTGTGCCGGGGGCCATGAATATAGCCGGGCCATGAAAATGGTCTAACGGATGAAAGTGGTTTCTGATACCTCTCCACTGGTGATCCTCATCCGTTTGGTGGCACTTTGTGTCACCGGGTGATTATCGAATTGTGTGATGAACTGGTGGGGTACAACTTACATGCATAAAATCTGCATACAGTGTATGATACACATCAGATCTATAAAACGGACGCACAGGCAACACTTAGATTCAAGAACAAGAGTAAAGTCCATAGGTGGACGAACAACCAAAATTATTCGCCGGAGTTTACAGCCGGTGAACGCGGAGAAGAAGACGAAGGAGGAAGATGAGGAGGAGGAGAAAAAGTAGCAGAAGAAGATGGAAACGGTATCCAAGACTAAAATGGTTGGTGATTTCACTGTTACTGCCCTTGGGTCCGGTCCTGCACTTCCGTGGCCGCCATCAGCTTGCATAGTTGACCTCAGGCTTTTCCATAACTAGCACTGCTCATTGCACAAGCTTTGCACACACAAAGGGGCACATAGCCGATTGTTTCTATTATTTTACACATTAGAATACTTGCAGGTTTGTAAAGTGCATTTTTTGATGCATAAAAGCAGCCGTTTTTTTTGACCTGATGTGAAAAAAAATGGTTTCGTTAGTCAGG